CTATCTATCTATCTATCTATCTATCTATCTATCTATCTATCTATCTATCTATCTATCTATCTATCTATCTATCGATGACTTGACATTAAACTTAAAGTTGTTTGTGCTTGAGAAGTGATAATTATCAGCTCAGAGGCAGACTATCTGTGTATCCAAGCCTCAAAGTGCTGCAATCACAGAGCTGGACTTACTGGAGAGGAAGTCAGCATGCTTTGTCTCAGCAGGGGGTGTCAAGTGTGATCAAGAACAAACATGTTGGTGTTAATTCAAACAGGCGTTGTGGAGTGTGAACACAGAGAGAATTAAAAACACGTGGAGCCTTGGCGGTCCTCAGCTTGATAATAGCTGCATTTTTTAATAAACTTATTTTTAGTAGGAATTAGAAATAGGAGCACGTGGAGGAGTTCTTTTTCCGAGCTGTGATTTATGTCACATTTCATCAATTGGTGTCGTTAAAGAAAACGGCAAAATTCCATTTTGTGTGTGTGTTTGTGTCATCAACATGATGTCAGACGTAAGTGTGAAGGAGTCAGTTTGAATGGTCATGACTTGTGAAAATGGCTCTAATATGGACAATCCCCATGCACTGTAAATATGTTGATCATATCAATGCACACATACTGTCTCAGCACAATTGTAGCAAATATCTTCAGGAATACTCACCGGCCAACACTCACCAAAGCAGACACTTCCTGATTAACTGACCAATTACTCCTCAGTCATTGATTACCAGAGGCTCCATCAGTAGAGGATGGTTTACCCCGACAACACTGTATACACTGGCTCACACAATATAATTGGTATTCTGAATCTGTGCTTGGACATCCCAAGAGACTGTTGCCAGAGCCAGTGGTCTCTTAGCCACTTTAGATTTCTCAGTGTTGTGAAGTCATGTTTAGGCTACTGTGTGCAAGCAGCTTTAGACTGTACGAAGTGCCAGGGTCTGTTTATTACAGGAGGAGTTTTGTTTGCTTTTACAGCAATATCATGTATTTTTATACTCCGGACAACCGATCAGTATTCAGTTTTAGGGATTCACTTTCCAGTACTTCTTTCCTGTACAGGTAAACCGATTAGTAAGCAGCCTTTAACAGAGTGACTGCAGTTTAAGTTAGAACTGACCATCTGAATGAATTGCGAAGTCTTTCTTGAGGCCAAAATCAGTCCACCCAAGAACAAATTGTGACGTTAATGTGATACCTTCTTACGGGCTCGAGACATTAGCATAAGGGTCAAATTTAGGTTGCAGATACACACCTATATCTTAGTGAAATAATGATTATGATTCCTTACTAAATACGATGAAGTTGCAACATGAGTCATTCAAATGTATTTCTTTTTTTTTAAGGCTAGAAGCTCAATAAAGCGGAAAGCCAGCTCTGTGAGATATGTGCAGGTGTTGCTGGTTGTGGCGGCACAGGCTCTCTTATGCATGTGTCAGCACAGGGGTCACTTGAGTTGGGGGATGAGTCCATGCTGAAATATCAGACACACACACATGTCTGTAATTCCCCCTACAGGGCCCCAAAGCAACAGACTTCTACCCCTCCACATTGAAGGCTGTACACACCCTTGGTTCACCCACACAGGTGTTTTCACTTATTTTGCCTGA